ACCGGTAGTCTTGAAATTGTGTCAATTTGGAATAATTTAAGGTTGTAAATGTAATACCTTTTGTTGTGAATTTATTGTATACTGATAATTTTTCGCCAAACTCAGCTAGATCAAAATAGAATAAAAGGAATAGTATTCATATATTTATAACTTTTCGAATGTTCTTTCAAAGAAATAAAAGTTTCTATTTCTTTTCAACATTCACTACTTTTATAGGCCGTTCAGAAACGCTAGCTGCTTTGTTCTCCAATGAAAATTTGAATAATTATAGTACGTTTAGAAATTTTTCGAGAGTTACATAATCAGTGTTTGGAATATGTTAGTTCCTTTCCCTTAGTGATTAAAATTGTAATGATAACTCTTGTGCGAAGTGTGATATTTTCTATCATTTTCTATTCTTCTCTTCTATATGATCTCGTAATTCAAAAAAGTCCATTGTTATTAAATAATAGTTGCAGCTGATGTAATTTGACATACATGGAATATCATTGAATAAACTTTCTTATTATAAAAATTCTTCTTTTTTTCTATTATAAATTGAAAGGTCTTTCTGGGTGAGTCTGAATTATTTTTTGAAAAAAACAAAATTTTTTGATAGATGGTACTCAAAACATAGCTAATAACATATATTTTTCAAATATAATTCTGTTTTATTCAAAAGCAATTTTGGATCTACATGTAAAAAAGCAAAAAATTTATAAATTTTCTTCAATATGAGTACTGTTTTAGTATTGGTCCATTTGTGTATATAATCGCCAGATTCTGTACTTTTAGTTCGAATTAGGTTTTTACAAGATTATTTTTTCCATCTTCTTTTTCTGCATACGAAGCTTTTCTTCGATCCGACCTTACTGTATTCTTTGCTTATTTTACCCTACACATACACTACTTTTCGCTTTTTTAAACTCTAACCATATTTTTCGTTCGCTTATTTTACTGTAACAATATTCTTCTTTCGTTTTCTATACTCTAACAATACCCTCCTTCCGTTTATTTTACTCGAGCCATGTCCTTCTTCCGCTATTTTAATCTAACCATATCTTCTCTTTCGTTTATTTTACTCGAACCATATCCTTCTTTTCGTTTGTCCCTAGTTAACCCCATCTATCCTTCCGAGAAGTGAAAATTACCATACAAACTCCAGTTAGATCTGACTAATTGTTGCAATCTAATAAGAGTTCATGTTTGAGCGATCTCCTCTTAATCAAATTGAAAGTATACTATTTACAGATAATTTTCTAGTAATGATGGATATATTTATCTAATCTATGTATATCTACTCCTTTAGAAGTTAGCAAGAATTGTACCTGTGTTTCTTCCTCTAGAAGTCATTTTTTTACATATATTATTCTGTAAATGTGTAAAAAAAAAGACTTTCAGAGGAAGAAACACAAGTACAATTCTTGCTAACTTCTAAAGGAGTAGATATACATAGATTAGATACATATATATCCATCATTACTAGAAAATTAGCTGTAAATAGGATACCTTCAAAATGATTCACAGGGAATCGCTCTTATACGTTCTTTTGTAACAATAATATGCCATTTAAACGCATTCAAATGCATTTTTAGAAACGCGTTTTATTCGATACATATCCGTTTCAATTACTAAATGATGCGTTTCAATGCGTTTTAAAAACTGCGTTCAAAGTCTAGTGAAAACATGTGAACTAGAAAAAATGCGTTGAAACGCAAATTTTTACAAATGTTTTTTCATGGGTACCGAGAAGTACGAAGAAGTACGAAAAAGTACGAAAAAGTACGAAGAAGTACGAAAAAGTACCAAAAAGTACGAAGAAGTACAAAGAAGTACAAGAAGTACAGAAGTCCGCTTGTTCCCCCTTGTTGAAAGAACACTGACTGAAAATAATAATTTTCAACGACAAAAGGCGTTATTCTTGTTTTTATTCTTTCCAGATTCTTTTTCTTCATAAAGTATCAGATAGGTTTCTTTGTCTTGATGTTCAGTCCAGAGTCTTTCTATCAATTAAGAAAATTAATGAAAAGACTCTTTTCAGAGCTATAAGATAGATAGTCGTTCTTTGTATCTTACAGAACTATATAAATCGCTTGTATGTGCTTCTTTTCTCATATTTCTAATTCGAACGTCTTACTATTAGCGGGTCATAGTAACAAAGTAGGTTAATATTCAAATCGCAAAAGATTAAAACTTGAGTATTTATTTTTCTCACTCTTTTAAACATGTTTAAATTGAGTTCAAAAAGATGAGTAAAAGTAGCTTGATTATCATTTTTTTTCGAAACTTCTTATTAAAAAAATTTCATTTTCTTCTATAGTCTTAAATGGAACATTTTTTATATGCATGTTTTCCATACTAATAGTCTGATGTATGTTTTCGATTTAAAAAATTCATTCCATGCGTATTTTAAAAACTAAGACATAGATTTGTCAAAAAAAAATAGAATGTGTGATACTCAACTTAAAATTAGTATCACAGAATTAATTCCTTATGCCAAATCTAGATATATTAGTTTTTACAATCAGCATTGAATTGATTTTTTAAGTCGAAAACATGTGTTTGATTTTAAGTATGAAAAACCTATATTTAGGAAAAATAAATCATTCGGAGCTACCGCAGAAACTCGATTAGTTTTAATTGAGAAAATTCAGAAAAGAATAGTAAACATATTCTTACTCAGTTCATCAAGCTCCACCTAACCATGTACAAAAAAACATTGCTGGAACTTCGATTTTTTGCATCTGAAATAATTGAGTTTGTTTTTTTTTCGTTAAGTTTTTTCTAAACAAGCCGATGAAAATTTTATCGAAACAGCTACGAAACTCTACTTCTATTTTTATTTATAAGCTTTATAGATAGTTTAACTATTTTTTGTTCAACTGTTATTTTTCTCTTGTTTTAATACTTGTAATTTCAGTGAAAACTTCATCAATAAAATAGGAACAAATACAAAATTATAATAGATCCATAGTAATTATGAGAATAGAGCGTAAGAATCTTGGTAGATTGTCAAGAAGTTTGCCCTATTCTCTAAGAAAAAACATCAGACTATATTTTCAAGAATGGCAAGATTCTGACGGAAAAAGAATCTTTATAGATTTATCAGTAAAAAAATGAATCTGGAAAGATTAGAGACAAGAATGTCGACTTGTGGAGAAATTAAAAGTAGAATCTGAGTAAATATATAAGAAACAGTATCAAGCACTTTCTTAATTGACGTCTTCCAATTTTTCCCTAATATATCATGTGTGCTGACTCTTCAATATTACAATCGTGATAACCGAAACGAAACAATTATTGTCAGTTAATATTTTAATTACTACTACCCCCCCCCCCCCCCCCCCCTTCCAAAAATAAAAAACCCCGGGTCTTCTATTATGGTCCAGCGAACTTTTGTAAATTTTGTAAATTTTTACTGATGAAAAAAGAAATTTCTATGAAGTGACTCCTCCAGAGGGGTCTTCTAATATGGGGGGGGGGGGGATCTTTTATTATGAGGGGGGTTTACTTTTTTCAAACTCCTAATTACATGACTATTCTTTGACTAAGTTATGTCTACATATCCGATTCTTCAGATTAAAAATGAAGTAAATGAGAAAGAACAGCAAAGCTTTGTTGTAACAATCAACTTTTCGAATTGTTCATCGATAGCGCACTCCTATTTTCAACTATCTAAAATTATTTCTTTCTAAAAGCCCATATGACAATATCGAAGATAACACAATGCAGATGGTAGCGATGTGGTTTTCCATACACATAGATCTTTTTATGTCAGATTTTCATTCGAATACTATTAGAGGAGGGTGCAGATGTCGATGCAGATATGACTATTGATATTCTATTCACTTGAGGGTGTGGGTGTGGGTGTGTGGGTGTCGGTGTAGGTGTGGATGTGGGTTTAAATCACCTCTTTACCCACATCCACCCACACCCACATCTACACCCTTCTTGTCGTTAGCGATGCCGAGATGCTGTGGATATTTATATAGCTGTGCCGTGATTCATATCATGTACGGTTAAGAGGAGTCTATGGAGACGTGTGGTTGTGTTCTGTTCTTTTTAATGAATCGTTCTAATAGTATGTTAATAATGTACGAAACCCTATTTTGGCGTTTCCAATAAGGGTTTCGTAGAGAACCGGGTTTGTACGAAACCTAAAATGGTTTCGAATTCGTTGCAAATCTCGGAACCCTTATAGGTTCCGTACGGTACCTATTTTTTTCAGTGTGGAGGACCTATGGGTACTCCCATAGGATAGCCCTTGACAATCTATGAGTAGCCCATAAGATGGCCCCTGATAAATACTTTGTTGGTACTTAAGTACAAGTACAAGTATAGAAGAAATATACTTGTAGAAAGACAAGTAGAAGTTCAAATACTTTTTTTTCAAGTACAAGTACATGGGCAAGTATATTTGTGAAAACGCAAGTACAAATACAAGTAAATTTTTTTCAAGTAAAAGTAAAAGTACAAGTACATTTTGTCAAATAAAAGTAAAATACTTTTACTTGCTGTACTTGTACTTGTCCCAGCTCTGATTGCTAGACAAGGGGGAAAGGACGGACTTTTGTACTTCAAGTACTTTAAACTACTTTAAAGTACTTCGACGTAATTTAAAGTACTTTTAGCAGATTTTGAGCTACTTCGTACGAACTTTCAAGTACTTTAAGCTACTTTAGGCTACTTTAAGCTACTTTGAGCTACTTTGAGCTACTTCAAGTACTTTCAATACTTCTATATACTGAATTATTTAAAATTTCTCAATATGACTGTAAGTACATAATGTGGATAATAGTTAAAGGTTATTTTGTTTTTGGCAAACAATAATATAATATAAACCATTCAATATGTATCAAAAAAAAATGTTCCAATATATCATTATATAGGTATTTCCAGAGTTTATTTTAAAGAAAGACAAAAATGCATAATAAAAAAGATCAAGTAAGAATTAAAATGAGCTAAAACACAGAAGACACAAACATTTATATACGACTTCTTTTTATGGAACCATATTGTTGTTATTGTGATATTAAACGACGTTTACCACCATTATGTACAGTTTCATTTGGTAATGCTGAAGAATCCATTTGAGTTGTTGTTTGTGCGTTAGTTGGTGAAACAGCAGCTACTTCTATTGATGATGTATTTGATCGATTTGAAGATGTTAATGTAACAGGTGTTGATTGTTGCTGCTGCTGTCGACTTAATGTTAATTCTTTTGCAACCTTTTTCAAATTTTTCATATGATCACATCCATTAGATTGCAAATGTTTATAATAATTAGACACCTGAACTTTATTATCATTTTCCCTAGACTGAAAGGATAGGGTCTAGAAACGGGAATTGATCTGTCCGCGTGTATATCGTTTTTGTCGGTAACATGGCACAAATGACCATTTTTTTGGCACAAACGACCACGTAACTATGGCACAAGTAACCATTTTTTTGGCACAAAGGACCACTTCTTTGGTACAAATGACCATGTAACTATGGCACAAACGACCATTTTTTTGGTACAAATGACCGTGTAGCTATGGCATAAATGACCACGTAACTATGGCACAAGTGACCATTTCTTTGGCACAAATGACCATTTTTTGGTATAAATGGCCATGTAACTATGGCACAAGTGACCATTTTTTTGGCACAAATGCCATTTTTTTGGTATAAACGACCATTTTTTTGGCACAAGTGACCATTTTTTTGGTACAAATGACTATGTTACTATGACAGAAATGAGCAGTTTTTGGCACAAATTACTATTTTTTTTTTGAGACAGCGACCACGTAACTACGGCACTAGTGACCATTTTGGTAAATATGGTACAAAAGACCATATAGTGCCCATATTACAAATCAGCATATGATGTATAATAAAATTGTGACAAGTGAATCAGAACAAATACGGAATTTTATGATGTATGAAAATGTTATTATTTTAAATGTGATTTTTATTGAATATAAATAGCGCTAATTTTATTAGCGCTTTTTTGTACTCAGAAGAATTTTAGTATTAACTTTTTAATCTTAATCCTATAACTTTCTAACACATATGTGTCCTTATGACGTCAATCTAGGGCCAGGTGAATCGACTGTTGATGAACGTTACTTGTTTACTTAATGATATTAATTTATTACACTTGCATTTTATACTAGCTTTTACATCAGAACTTTCATCATAATCAATATTTAAAAAAAAATCAAAATTTTCTTGTAAATCAAAATGTTCTAAATGAAAATTTTCTTTGTTATCCGAACACCATTTGTGAATGAGTTTCAGTACATGTGCTTTATGTTCAACCAAAGACAATTTATTAGATATTGATGGTGCTTGTGTTGTTGCTGTTGCCGGTGCTGTTGGTACTAAAGAATAGATTGATGATAAATTTGTATTAAATAATTGTTGTTGATGTTGTTGTTTTCGTCCTTTAGATTTTGTTGATTGTTCATTAACCTTTGTTTTAAAGCATCTTTTAACGAGCGAAATCCAGCAATCACACTGCGACGGATTCTACCCGTCACTACTCTTCATGACCCCGATCGGGCACATCGGTCATGTTCTAATGTTCTATTCATTAATCATTCTCTCTCGTTTTTCTCTCTGCTGGAATATATATACTGCGTTCATATATTATTGTTATTCATTATTGAAATAAACTCAGAACGAGTGAGTCGTTCCATCACACGTGGCGAAGATACTACTGGTGTCATTCCTAAAGTTGAATACGATTCGTCGACAAACTCATTCATTGGATTTACAACACCAATTGTTGATGGTATTCCATTGACGAAACATTATCAAGCTGATACATTTGATGATTTTTAATCATTTATAGTACCAATGAAACAGCACCATTATTGAATGTACATATGTTCCAAAGTATATCAACAGAAGATGATCCAACAAATTTTCCGAAACCAGTTTTACTCTCTGCTTATGGTGTTGACAACAAATTTACAGCTATGAATATTTTACGACGATGGATGTATATTTTTGAACGTTGTTTAGATAAAGATGTTCGCATTATCGGATTTTCTACAGGTAAATTTTATTTATACAATGTTCCTCTCAAATGTATCTTAATTGTAAACAGATGCAGATAACAAATACATAAGTGCCATGTGTCTTGCCAGTAATTTCTTCGTGTCGTTACCCAATTTCAAATTAGACAAGCATCAACATGCATTTAAAATAGATATACCGAATGACCGGACTTGGTTTTTCCTAAGTAGAAATCAACTCTTCTTGTTTTTTCAAGATCCGGCACATATCGTTACCAAATGGCGTAATCGATTGTTATCGTCAACAGCGGATTTATATATTGGGAACGATAAAATTAGTATGGCATATATAGAACAACTAATCGATAACAATAGTTATACAAAATTAGATCATGGTTTGACGAAAAGTGATATTAATCCTAAATATCGCCAAAATTATAATTCATGTATTAAGTTAATATCAGACGACGTAATAAATCTTCTTAATCATAGTATAGATAGCAATGGGACAGTTGTTTATTTAACATTGTTAAAAATGATAGTAAAAGCATACATTGATAAATCGACAAGTATTCATGAACGTAAGTCCATTTTTAACATTAGAAACGAAAAAGGTCAAACTGATTAATTGTTAACACTTTCTATGTATTTAGGTATTCAATCAGCATGGTGTGTAGTATTTGTGTGTCGCCTTTGGTGGTCTTGCTTAAAAAAAACATCAACTTTGAAATCATCGAAAACCAGCCAAACAACAAGCAACAGAAAAAATAAAATTAACAAATACTTTATTACTAGACCTGCATATATGTTTGTTGAGTTGAACGCACACAATTTACTATATTTAGTACTATTAGTGAAACAGTAACATTTACCAAAGCAAACATTAATCAATATACTTTTATTCAATTCACAACCATGCGAGTCATTATTTATAGATGCAAGATCATTAAGCAGTACATCCTCAACGGTCGTCAGTTTTACCGTAAAAGATTTTATGCGACGTTCACAAAAACTATCAATATTAGATCAATTTAAACATAATCATTTGGAAAAAGATCTATCATTTCCCATACATCACAAACACAAACGCGAACATCCATTACAATCATCACATCAATTAGATAATATTGATACCTTAGATATTCAAAAATTAATACCAAATGCATATGATCAAGCATTACGTCTTGTTAAACATTCAAAAATACTAGATAAATTAAATGAGCATAAAATAAATTGTTTAAATGATTTAAGTAGTTATATCTTCGACATGTTAAGTAAAAATTCAAGAATGATTAATTATTCTTTCCGAACAGAAAATAACACCACTGACGAGTTTGGATTGGATGAAGAAAATGAAGATAATGACGTCATCAATTATGCACCAGACCAACTTATTGATGAAATTCTATTTGATGATCAAAGCGACGGTGTTAGTGATGATGATGAAAATATATTAAATTCAACAAAATCAGATTTTAATGGAATAAGAATAGTTGATAATATTAATCCTGCTATAAGAAAATCGTATTTCAAAGTCAAAATAAATGACAATATTAAGTATCTTCACAAACAATCGGCCTGCTGGGTGCAATAGAGTCAGATAACGAAATTATCAAGTGATCGTTTATCTCGTGTCATGCAACAAACATCTGGTCATGATTAGTAAACTTATTCATTTCATTTTTTTTCTGTTTTACTAGTATTTACTGTTGTAAAAAGTGAATAAACTAATCATTCATAGTTTTTCAACACTATTTAATTTTGTTCTATGTATATCTAGATCATTAAGAACACTTTAAAGTACTTTAGCATAATTTCAAGTACTCTGACGTAATTTGAAGCTACTTAAACGTAATTAAAAAGTACTTTGAGCTACTTTAAGCTACTTTGAGCTACTTTAAGCTACTTTAAGCTACTTCGAGCTACTTTAAGCTATTTCGGGCGACTTTGAAGTACTTTTTGTACTTTACTGTACTTTTCTACTTCAAGTCCGCCCTTTCCCCCTAGGATAAAACTCTCATGTCGAACTACAGAGGTATAAGTCTCATGTATGTTGCAGCCAAAATATACAATCGAATACTTCTAAATAGAATACGGGAACCGCTTGATTCAATTCTTCGAATAAATCAAGCTGGCTTCCGGAAAGGAAGAAGCTGCATAGATCAAATACATACAATACGTCGTATACTAGAAGGTGCAGTGGATAAACAACTCCCAATCTACATCACCTTCATAGACTTCAAAAAAGCCTTTGACTCTATTGAAAGAAAAACAATGTTTGAAATTCTCAGGCATTATGGAATACCAATGAAAATGATCAACGCAATTCAATCTATATACAACAACTCACGAAGTGCAGTTCCGGTAGATGGTCAACTCACAGAAGGATTCGACGTTACTACAGGTGTTTTACAAGGTGATACATTGGCACCATTCCTCTTCATTATTGTAATCGATTACGTCATGAAAAATGCGGAAACACAACACACAAATGAACAAGGCGAACATGGATTTGTAACAAATCAACGACAATCAAAACGACAACCAGCAACAACAATTCACGATCTAGCCTTTGCTGATGATATCGCTCTGTTCGAAAGTAACTTCGACAGATCACAAACACAACTGATCACAACAACGAAATGGGCCGATAAAGTAGGCTTACAAGTTAACATCAAAAAGACACAAGCACTAACAAACCAAAATACCAACAACAAATCTATGCAAATAAACGGAGAAGACATTCAATGGGTAGACAATTTCAAATACCTTGGCTCAATGGTACTCTCAAGCAATACAGATATCAAAGCAAGGAAAGGGTTAGCATGGAAAGCCTTCTGGAAATTGTGAAACATATGGAAATCAACAACAATACCTACGAAGCTGAAGATTAACATCTTCAAAGCTTCTTGCGTTTCGATTTTACTATATGGCTCCGAAAGCTGGATCATCACAAAAACCCTTGAGAAGTCTCTAAACAGCTTCGCTACTAGCTGTTATCGAATAATACTCAACATTAAACGACTGGACAAAATATCAAATAACACAATCTACGAAAAAGTGAAACAAGAACCCCTGGTACAAACAATACAACGCCGACAACTGCGTTTTATTGGATATTGCCTACGCCGAAACTCAAATGAATTCACCAACATGTATGCTCTGTACACTCCGAAACCTGGCCCTGGAAAACGTAAGCGTGGACGACCCCGCTTGAAATACGTTGATTACGTCGCAAGACTGATCAACAACGACAATCCATCAACGATCGAAGAAATCAGAAAGGCTGCTGCAGACAGGAAAAGCTGGTACGATATTGCTATCGCCTGTAAACCGCGCCTGTTTGCAGCCGACTGATGATGAATTTGAAGAAGAATTGTATGAAACATGTAAATCTTCAAGAAACTCATTTTTTCCTATCTAATTATCTCAATCAATCGTCACATGGAAGGCTCATTTGTTAAATTCAATACAAATCATTCTAATAAATCTGTGTGAAAAACTTCCCCTGAAGAAAATGTAACTTTTGAAAAAGAATATATGTGCAAAAAGTAAAAGAGAAGTTTTGCTATTCGTCGATGTGATTGAAATCAAATTAAAAATAAAAATGATCGAAGCAGACTTTATTACAATCGCACATGCTATTGTAACAAAATAAGAAGACTTAAATTTTAATAAGAGAAAAAAAACTTTACTTTGAGAACCAATTGAAAATTCAATCAAGATTATTTCTACACAATACATGTACAGACATCGCAGAACAATAGAAAAAAGATTCATTGATTTGCATTTGGAAGAAATAGAGTACTGGCATGATCCTATTTTTAAATCTACTTACAATTTTAGAAAAAAAAATTAATTTCGACCAAGTACTGTACTATATATGACAGAGATGGGACCGGTTCGGTTTTTAACCGAACCGAACCGACCGACCGTAACCGAAATCGGTTCGATTCGAGATTTTTAAAAAATTCGGTCGGTTACGTTCGGTTCGGTTAGGGATTTTTCCGGTTACGATCGGTTCGGTTAGAAATTTTAAAAAATTTGGTCGGTTACGTTCGGTTCGGTTAGAAAGAATCGACATAATCTTTTGATTTGAGTTCGATGGACTTTTTGAGACATCAGAAGAAAAAAGAGTGTAATCGTACAACAATTAGCTGTTGTTCGTAACTCGTATTATCTCACATGTTTTTTAAATTTGTTGTGAGAGGTAAGAAAGTTATAATACGGTAAGAGGATTCAATAAATAATCTTTCTTCGTTACTTTCTCTAGATGTTGATTGCTTATAGTTGCTACTGTTCGTTTTGTTGTTGCTAATTTATAAAGCACTAATACCCTAATTAACATAAGCTAAACTTCGCTTTCTCTAAACTCGGTTCGATTACGAAATTTTTGAAATTTGGTCGGTTACGATCGGTTCGGTTAGAAATTTTTAAATATTCGGTCGATTACATTCGGTTCGGTTAGAGATTTTTTCGGTTACGGTCGGTTCGGTTAGAAATTTTAAAAAATTCGGTCGGTTACGTTCGGTTCGGTTAGAGATTTTTTCGGCTACGGTCGGTTCGATTTGGCAAAAATGCCAACCGATCCCACCTCTGATATATGACCATCAGGTATTAACAAAAAGTATGTTGAGTAATTTTACAAATTTTTATCATTATTTCTGAATATTAATCAATAATACGATTTAGTTTATCTTTTTGTCTCTGTCAATATCATATTGTTCTACGTGTATGCATTGAAAACAAACTATCAAAATAATTCAATGGTTTCTCTCAAATTGATCAGTTCTTCTAATAGAAATTCTATTGATGTATATAAGTTAACTAGTGTAATATGAAGTATAGATATTTCATAAAATGATAAATATTTATCTAATCAAAAAAAGCAAACAAATAATGTATTCAAATGTATTTTCCTCATTTCCTCAAACGTTTCTATAAAACGAAAATGAATTCGAAGATTCTACGATTACACATAGTTCGATCGTTTCCACTCTGAGTTTCTCTTCATCTAAATCCGTAAGTCCGTATGATCTACTCATATTATTAAGTTTGTCGATGTTACATAATTTTTACGTGGATTTTCATTTCGTTCTTGGCAAGATGAGTACATCCTAAGTTTATATTTTCTCTGATCTTAGAGATTGTCGTGCTTCCATCTTCTTCACTATACTTCACATATCTCTCCTAGTTTTTATTTGTATTTTATTCTTTCTGACTGTTGCTTCTGTTTATCCTGTGCACTTTTGTACTTTGAGTTTTATTTTTCATTCTCTCTGATCCTTTTTTCTCTTGTTTCTTGTTGTTCCTTGCATCTTTCTTCTATCATCTCCTTCTAGTTCATCGATGTTGTCTTAAAAGACCTTCAGGCATTAATTTTACCCTACAAAGCATAATAAAAAAAAAGGTATGTATTCAAATAGAAGTATAATTAGAAAAGAAGTATTTCTTTTCTTCTTTCATTTTATTTTCATCAATGTTTAGATGCTATTCAAATAAATATTTAAAATAAGTTTTGTCATGTCGAAGAAGAATCATTTTTAGATAGAAGATATTTTCAAAGCATTACATTCAAATTTAAGTAATTATTTTTTTATTAGATTCACCACATTAAATTATAGGAAATATATTCGAAAACGATATTGACATTATTAATATAATTGGATGATGTTTTTCTTCTTTCACTTTTTGCATTATTCTGTAAACTTGTTCATCTATTTGCATTATGGTTGACATAGAGAATTTCATTGTGATTGCTCAACTAATCAATTGATAGTCGAAAACAATATGCTAAAATTCTATCTTCAGTTGCCTCGTTATTGGATCGAGTTACGAAAATGAAATTAAAAAAAATGAAATCGAAAGATCAGTTGTTAGATTAGAACTTATTTGTAACGGAATAATAAAACTAGTGTTCATTTCAGAGACATGTCTTCGATTTCTTTTCGTCTGTAAACAACAGGAGAATGTTATTTTCTTCTTTATTTGTCTTAATCAAACAAACTATGCGATTTCACATCGAATTGATCAATTCAATTAATATTGCTACTTCGAAGAAAAAAAAAATCTTATGGACAATCCAGTATATCAACATGATTGTATTATTATTGATTATATTCAATGTAATTTCTTCGACTGTATTCTAATCCTTCTTATATTTGGGTATAATTATGGTGTGTGAATAGGGTTGCACCGGTTCCGGTTTTAACCGATACCGGTTCCGGTTTTAGAACCGAAACCGATGGAACCGATTGGAACCGAAACCGGAACCGGTAAGAACCGATAAGAACCGGAACCGGAACCGGTAAGAACCGATAAGAACCGGAACCGGAACCGATAAGAACCGATAAGA